TTCTACCATGCCCCGTATCTTATTGTCATCTGCAAATTTGCTGAGGGTGCAATCCATCCCCTCATCCACGTCATTAATAAGGGTATGTCTACACTACCACCCTAGTTTGAACTAGGGTGGTAATGTAGGCAACCGGAGTTGCAAATGAAGCCCGGGATTTGAATTTCCCGGGCTTCATTTGCATAAAGCCGGGCGCTGCCATTTTAAAATGTGAAACGAGGAGTAACGGTAGTTCGGAATAGGAAATCTTGCTTCATTTGCAACTCCGATTGCCTACATTACCACCCTAGTTCGAACTAGGGTGGTAGTGTAGACATACCCTAAGATATTGAAAAATCTGGTCCCAGAACCGATCCTTGGGGCACTCCGCTAGAAAGTGACCGCCATCTTGACATTGAGCCGTTGATCACTACTCACTGGGCCCGACCTTCTAGCCATCTTTCTATCTATCCTACCATCCATTTATCCAATCCACATTCCCTTAACTTGCTGGCAAGAATATTGTGGGAGACCATATCAAAAGCCTTGCTAAAGGCAAGGTATATCACATCCACTGACTTTCCCATGTCACCAGAGCCAGTTACCACATCATAGAAGCTCATCAGATTGGTCAGGCACAACTTGCCCTTTGTGAATCCATGCTGACTATTCTTGATCATTTTCCCCTCTTCCAAGTGCCTCAAAATGGATTCTTAAGGATCCCTGCCATGATTTTTCCAGGGACCGAGGTAAGACTGACTGGTCTATAGTTCCCTGGATTGTCCTGCTTCCTTTTTTTGGAAGATGGGCACTACATTTGTCTTTTTCCAATCATCTGGGATCTCTCCTGATCTCCACAACTTTTCAAAGATAATGGCCAAAGGCTCCTCAATGACATTTGCCAACTCCCTCAGTACCCTCGGATGCATTAAGTCTGGACCCATGGATTTGTGTACGTTTAGCTTTTCTAAATAGTTCCTAACTTGTTCTTTACCCACCAAGGGCTGTCCATCTTCATCCCTTGTCCGTGAAGACAGAAGCAAAGAAAGCATTGAATACTTCAGCTTTCCCCACATCATCTGTCACCAAGTTACCCCCTTCATCCAGCAGGGGCCCCACACCCTCTCTGATCACCTTCTTCTTGCTAACATGCCTGTAGAAACCTTTCTTGTTATCCTTCACATCCTTTGCCAGTCGCAATTCCAATTGAGCTTTTGCCTTTCTGATAATCCCCTGGCACTCAAGTTATATATTTATAGCTCTCCCTGGTCATTTGTCCAAGTTTCATCACCCCCACCTCACTACCCTCAGAAGAAAAGGTTAATATGCTTGAATTTAAGTACAGTATGTTAAAGAAATCATCATATGAGGTGATTATAGCAGACAGTTTAATAACCCAAAGCCTTGCCCCAATGACTGCACAGGGTGACTCTCTCCGACAGGTTGTTTCTGAGGAGAACAACTATTGGCTGGAAAGAAGAACAGCTTTCTACTCCCAGCCTCCCACATAATTACTTCAGTACATTTTTAGCAAGTCAGCTACATTTGTTTTCCTCCAGAACTAATTAAAATCCTTCATTATATTTATCTAACTAAAATATGCAACTTGAAAATAGGTGCAGAATTATGTATTAGTGTCTTTGTGATAGCTGGGCATTTTACAGCAGTAAATCACAGTTCACTGACCATATTTTAGGTTCTATTAATTTATTATGTTTATCTATATTATGCCTTAATCTGCTTTAATTCAGTGCAGTCTCCTGGGGAGCTGGAATAAACTTCACAAAGGATTTGTCTTTTCTTTATTTATTTTCAAGGCAACAGTTTTAAAAAGAGATCCTGTTAAGTTGTTTAGCTTTGGTATTTCATTGCTAGTGATTTGAAATGGTTATAATTTTATGGGCCATGCCTATCAGATAACATTTAAAAAAAATTAGCTTATAGACAAAATTCCAGAGAGCGAAGTGCATAGGACAACTGAAAACATCATTTTTGAGCACACGGTTTTGCAGACCTAAATGTTTCTCTCTCTCTTTCTTTTCACTGTTTCAAATGATTTTCCAACCATCCAAGGAAATTTTGTGTGTGCATCCTACTGCTCACACTGACCAAAAAGAGGCATTGATCATTACAAACTTGTCCGCTCCAGTTTGTGCTTTAGTTTTGCACCACGTAAACCAGCTTCTAAGAGCTCCTTTTTTCCTTTTCACTCAAGCCAATCTTTTTGCAATTAAGCAGTAATCAAGTGAGAGCTTAGTTTTCATGATATAGAGGTGGTATTAATTTAAAATAAGAACTCTTTTTTCCTTCAAATCTCTCAAATTTTCACAGAAATTTTAGTGTCGTATTTATACCTCTAAAGTAATTGCACTGTATTGCTTATGCTGCTCTTCATTTCTGATTAATTTATTTTCTCACATTTGAGATTTATGTCCCCCTAGTTTATTAAATGTTTGCGGTGCATGGCTTAAAATACCACAGCTAGGATTTTTTTTTGTCACTAAACTTATTTCAGAGTGTTTGAAATTCTGCTTTCTACAAAATATTCATATAATGGCACTGAAAGATGTGAAACACTGGAATTGTGGATGTTTTGATATATAAATTGATCACTAGAGGAACCAAGTTATCCATGTTGAGGATTCCATTCTTAGCCCCAATCTCGCAAAGAATTCTACATGGATATAACTTCATATATTGTGAGTGAATTCCTAGCTGCACTGAAGTCACTTGCAAGGCTCCCTCTTTCAACGGGATTACTCAGAGTGTATAAAATTCAGTGTATAAAAGTAAGTCTTGGCAGGATAAGTAAAAGTTCTGATTTTGTAAGCAACTACAAGGCTGGCACAGCCTTGCATCTATGTGGATCCCACTGAAATCAAGGGAATTTTGAAGTGACATTTTCTGAATAAATTCAGCATCGACCCTGTTCTTAAGTAACATTAGGAAATGGAGAGCAATGCATTGCAAATGAAAAGCCTGATCCTGGAAAACCTGACCGCTGATTGTAGCTCTTACACATCTATATAGTCCCTCTAATGCAGTGGTTCCCAAAGTATGGTCCACGGACCACTAGTGATCCACAGCCCACCAGCAGCCGAGGTTCAGGCTCGGGGCTCATTCCCTCCACCACAGCGGGGAGTCTGCACTGGCATGCCAACTCCACAGCCCCCCATGAGGTTGAAGCTCGAGGTTCCTGCTGTAAGGGTAGGCCTTGTGGGGCAGATCCAATTTGTGGGGGTAGGAAGCAGCTCCATGCTTTACTGCTCCCCCTTCCCCTGGCTAAGGGAATGGCAACAAAGAAAATCACTCATCAGGACTTTTTCTCTGCTGCTCCATTGGCCGGAATTGACAATGGGGGTGGAGGTGGGGGTGGGATGCAGTGGGCGACACAGCACCAGGTAAGCAACCTCCATCCCCCTCATGCTCACACCTTGCATCCCAATGCCCTCAGTCAGACCCTTTACACTGAGATGCTGCACCCCCACTCTGCTTCTGCAGCCTCTCTCCTGCCCAGACCTCATATCTCCATCTGCAATCCACCTCCTGCCCAGGCCACCACCCTCATTCTGCTCTTGCATCTTCCCTCCCACCTATCCCTCACCCCCAGCCTGCTCCTGCACACCGCTCAGCCAGACACCCCACAGCTTCAGCCTGCTCCTGCACCTAACTTTCTATACAGACCCCCACACTCCCACTCTCAGCCTGCTTCTACAGCCTACTCACAATCAGACTCTGCATCCCTACCTCGTCCTGCACCCATTGTGTCATCATAGGTGGCTGGCTGGTGGTCTATTGAAAGGTCTGCATTGAGTGGAATAGGCCATGGGCCACATAGTTTGAGAACCACTTCACTAGTGTTTGTGGATTTACTTGTACAAGTCAGGACTCCTCATATGAGTAAGAACTGTAGGATCAGATCCAGAGGGCTTTTCAATTAATTCATAATGCATTAAAAGTGAAAACTGCCTAGCAACATTTAGCCCTCAAGATTTGGTGCAGTGTAGTATGTACTTCTCCTGAGTGTGGGGCAGTCCAGAAAGGACTGTGTTTTCAAAGCTGAATGGCTCTGTGCCACTCTCACAGCATGGCCACGTGGAATTCTCAGAATTCCTATGGCCCTATGGCACTTACTCACTATGAGACCTTGGGCAAGTCTCTTCTATGTATACTTCAACTGTCCCCTCTGTACACAGGAATAATAATAATCATCATCTGGTGATCTGATTTGAATTCTTAAACTGAAAGGCTGTCATGTGGGCAAATCAATAATTATTATGTTTCAGAATTTTAGACAGTTTATTCAGTTTCTGTGAAATCTAGGAAAGGCTCAGGAATATAGAAAATAATATGACAAACATTTAAAAATCAGTGGGTCAGATCCTGAGATTGTGCAAATCAACAAAGCTCCACTGACTTCTATATAAAACACGCTAACAAACAAACCACTTAAAGCTAAATAGAATCTTTCATTAGTTTAATGAAGCTGTGCATTTTTACAAACGCCTGAGGATCTGGATCAATATTCAGATGTAGAGCATCATGGTATTTTGATGCTGTATTATCTCACATATGGTGGTTGTAGTTCAGAAGAAGACATACCATTTTAAAATAATTAAGAGTTATCTGGGTGTACTAAATTGTCATTATAGTCCCCATATTTAGACTAGAGAATACCAATAAATACTTTCCAAGAAATCACTGTATTTTAGTTTTGCTGTACTATTTGCTTCTCATTTCTGTGGATGTGTCATTATGCCCAGCAAGCACTGTCCTGAAATGTGTTGTTACTATATGGAATCTATCTACAATAAAGGTTGCTATTACTTACTGGAGTTTCTTTAATGTGGATGATAAATACATTTCTTACCACAACTGTGAACATAAGAATGGCCGTACTGGGTCAGACCAAAGGTCCATCTAGCCCAGTATCCTGTCTACTGACAGTGGCCAGCACCAGGTGCCCCAGAGAGGGTGGACTGAAGACAATGATCAAGCGATTTGTCTCCTGCCATCCCTCTCCAGCCTCTGACAGACAGAGGCCAAGGACACCATTTTATCCCCTGGCTAATAGCCTTTTATGGACCTAACCTCCATGAAATTATCTAGCTTCTCTTTAAACTCTATTATAGTCCTAGCCTTCACAGCCTCCTCTGGCAAGGAGTTCCACAGGCTGACTATACGCTGTGTGAAGAAGAACTTTCTTTTATTAGTTTTAAACCTGCTCCCCATTAATTTCATTTGGTGTCCTCTAGTTCTTCTATTTAGGGAACTAAATAAATAACTTTTCTTATCGGCCCTCTCCACACCACTCATGATTATATAGACCTCTATCATATCCCTCCTCAGTCTCCTCTTTTCTAAACTGAAAAGTCCCAGTCTCTTTAACCTCTCCTCATATGGGACCCGTTCCAAACCCCTAATCATTTTAGTTGCCCTTTTCTGAACCCTTTCCAAGGCCAAAATATCTTTTTTGAGCTGAGGAGACCACGTCTGTACGCAGTATTCAAGATGTGGGCATACCATAGTTTTATACAGGGGCAGTAAGATATTCTGGGTCCTATTTTCTATCCCTTTCCTAATAATTCCTTGTATTAAGTAACTTTGGACTTACTTAATACAATGCGATCAACCCAACAGAGAGTGAGGTACAGCTGACAAGAAACCTAGTGCAAGAATTGTTTGCCTTGTTATTCTAGAATGAGGACAGTAAGATCATTTATAAGTTTCCTCCCCCACCCTTTTTATTGGGTTTTTTTCTCGCTCCACTCAAGCTCATCTGAAGAAGTAGATTTTGCCAACAAAAGCTCATGATACTATATATAATTTTTGTTAGCATCTAAGGTGCCACAGGAATACTTGTGTGTTTTTTTTTTTTTAAGTTACAGACCAACATGGCTCTCTCTCTGAGAATTTATAAGTGATGTTCCACAAAAGACTGCAGCAACAAATATGAATTGTAGCTAAATAAGCCACTTACTTTATGACAGCCTGAAGCTTCTCACAGAGCACAGTGAGGACAGATACAACATCATCGCAAAGGGACTCTACTGTAGAACCTCCAAAAAAGACAAAGGTCAGTGGCATTATGTGCGTTTCGCTGGATTACCATCCCGCCCCCCACTTTCAGAGCTATCCCAGCTTCTGTGTCTTGGATCTGCAGTTCTCAGCTGTGGATTGCAGGCTGCCAGACTTAAAAAAAAGAATCAGCGGAATGGGAAGTTATTCTGAGGGAGGAAGTCACAAAATGAAAAAAAAAGTAGCATCCTTAACTTGGTGGATAACACTAATTTCTTAAAAGGACTATAAATAATTCATCAGGATTATTAAAATCATGGTGGCTTTTCCTATTGCTTATCACTGGGCTGCTCCTTCCAACCACGAGAAATCTATGTAGCCACTAAGGTGCCAGTCCTGCCTGGGGAACAGTGTGGACAGATCATAATTCCTGGGTGAAGTATCACTGGAATCAATGGGCCGCACATGGACCCAAGGATCCACTCCCACAGATCCAGTTGCAGAAGCCAGGCCTAATACAGATTTTAGCAATTAGACAATATAGTGGAGAAGCTAGGAAAAACATTAGAAAACTGATACTATCGACATGATGAAGGTTCATTTTTAGCAGAGCTGTCTGTCAGGACCTGCAAAAATATTGATGAAAGGAGGGACACCATTATCCACTAGTTAATATACCATGTCTGGCTCAATAGGTAAGAAATTGTATTTGTGATTTCAGACCCTGCTAATCTCTGAAAAACACTGTTCAAATTTTACAAGGGACCCCAATTCACTTTAACCCTGCCCACAGCGCTGAAGCCCTTTGGGTGCAGAGACAGCATATTATAGTCATTAGTTATTACTTTCTTGTATGGAACACCATTCACATGGTGCAGCTGAAGGTATCATTAAAACTGTTGCAAGCCAGGAAGATTTTGTAGACACTTTGCAGTTCTGAAGATAACCAGAACACTTATACAATGAGTGGGGTGAGACCAATGAGGTGTGAGCAATGGAAAATGAAAGGAGCAGTGTGACTCTGCAGAGGATGTAAACACTATGGCAACCAGGTGTCTTGGCAACAGTAGGCAAGAACAAGGAACGAGGAGAGAGAAGAGGAAAGAAAAATCACATTTTAAAGAGTTACCATAAAATTAAGAGTAATAGATACCTTGGCTCTTGAACTGCTGCATGGCTTCATGGTTCTCAGTTGTCTGCTGAGGGGAAAGAAATATGTTACAATGAGAATAGGTGGAAGGAAAGTGCTATATAATAAAGTACTCAGCTTCTAATTGGAAAAAGCCAGTCTGGGACTAGAGTCAGAAAAGAAAGTGTTAACATTACAACTTCCTTGTACGTTAGAAATACCTCTTTTTCTTTACTAATTTTGAGGGGGATTTTTTTCAAAAGCGTCTAAGTCCTATTTTCTAAAAGTGATTTATATTTAGGCATTTAAGACCAACTGAAAACCACTGGGACAGACTCCCAGGCATTTATGTAATTTTCGGAAATGGGTTTTAAGAACATGTCACCTTGCTGCTCTTGAACATTTTACTTTACTGCTGCTAACACTACAGAGGCCATAAACCCTCTTAGATCATCTAGTTCATTTCCCTGCCAGTGCAGGATAGTTCCCTGTGGCACATAAAGCACATGGAAGCACAAGATCAACTCTCTTGTGTCTCATGTATCATCAAAAATTGTCAGACGCTAAGGACAGTTTGCAGAATCTCCATTATAGGTCAGAAAGTATGAGCAGAGGTAACAATTTAGATTTCAGAGCTGCCAGTTTGGGGGAAAAAAAAAAACAACTTTTGACTTATAAACTGGGCACACTTTATCCAGAGAAAGTATAAATAAAAGGAACCCTACAACTAAAGTTTATGCCTATTTCTCAGATTAAGACTATACTTAAATTCTGTCTATTTTATTTTTTTAAAAAGGATCTCTATTTTATTGAACTGCTATAAGATTAAACCTCTACACAACTGACAGCTGCAAAATCCCCTAACATATCAAACAAACACATAAAGGCAAATAATTTCTTCATTAATATGCAAGAAAGTGCTCATAAGTGCAAGAAGCCAAAGTCATTTCAAATTTGCCCAGAGGTGCTCATAATTCCATCAAACAATATGCTGGAGTTAAGTGCAAACAACTCTTGTGGATTTTAATAGAACAATAAAGGCACTAAACAGAAACCAGTTACTTTTGCCAATAAGCCAGCAGGTGAAGAAGCGCTCTAGCCCAAATAATTTCATTTATTCAGATTCAAAAGGATTTGGCTTAGATTTTGTAAATAAACACACAATATAAAAGAGAAAAGGAAAACAAGGTCAAGATAATCTAACATCAGCATGAAGTCTATCTTGCAATTCAAAATGTAGAGTGTGTCTGCTGGAAGGGAAAAGCGGTGTCTGCTGAAAGATTTGTTAGGCATGAATATTGATGTAGCCCCAAAAGGATGCAGTTTAAAGAGGACTAATGCTGGAATGCTCAAATAATGCCAGAAGGCACAGCACCCAGTCACTCAATGCTGCAAGCAGAGACACAAAAAGGACACAGCCATGACATACTGAAGCATCTGTTGATGCTGGAAGACTTACCGTATTCTCTTGCTTTTGCCGTAACTGTAAAGTCAAGTCACTCAACATTTGGCTGAGGGTTGCCCGCACAGCGGTGTTAATACTCCGCTGGTGACAGCTAGATACATATGTCTCAATGCAAACCTGGTGAGGAAACAAGGAGCACATAGATATAAACTAAATTTAACTGCAGACCATCTCAGAAGGAAGTGAAGCTCTCTTTGATGTAGAAGGTCAGCCAGATTTACTAGCGCACAGAGTTAGAACATTTTTCAGCAATGCGAGTAGTTAATTAATATGATTTAAAAGCAGCATGCAGTTTGTCAGGTTTCTAAAGTGTTGTGTACATTGAGGTAGCAAAACTAAAATGGCAACCTCATAACCTCTCTCTTGTCAAACTAAGGTGCCCAGGCAGTGGCTTGTGCTGTGGATGTTGCTTTCAAATTTTAGTCCCATTGTTTTAATTCCAGTGATGTATTCATGACATCAAAGGAACCAAACGAATTCACAAGGACCATTTCTCTGGAATTCTTCCACTAGCACATAAGTGGTGGTATCCTCTCATATGAGGATCATAAAGGTTTTTATTTCTTTTCAGGTTATTTGCGTAAATTGTTATTTGTGTGGGGTTTTTGTAGGAGTAATACATTGGGGATTTTCAGACATCTTCTGCTACTATGATGCAAGTAGGTGTCTTGATTGTTCATTGTAAATCATGACTTTAATTTATGTTCATTGCAGTGTCCAATAACCTTTTAGTGCCCATAAATGGAAAAAAAAAAATGTATCTGGCTATTTTTATTATAGTAAAAGTGACAGTGACTGCTATAGTTCACATTGCAATAGTTTCCATTCTAACTACATTTTCAGTTGTTTGTGGCTTTGGCAAACTTTCAGCTGTAGGGTTGAATTTTTTCCATGACTTAACTGTGCCCAAAGACAATATTTTGTAGGCAGTTGTGAAAATGCAGTGCAGTTGGAATGCCGGGGCTATGGCATTATGCCCACTGCAATGTCCTTTAAAAGTTTTCTTGTAGGAAGTGTTTATTTCCAGAAGAGTTGGTAAAGTACTGTGTTGTCATTTTTGATATCTCAAGCCAGAGGCTGATGCATGAGCTAATTTAGTGCTTCCTGTAATTTATATCATGAGGTTGGGACCAAACTGTTTAACATACATTTATTAATACATTGTGATCCAGAGGAGCAATTCCACTGATGTTGGCATATGTTGCACTCTGTGATTCTACAGCTCTGCAGTTACTCATACAAGTTCAGCCAGCATGCATGCCCATGAGTTTGTAACACTACCTGTTGTACTATTCAGGGTGGGGCCTTTCAGATATGTCAGCATTTCTATCATAAAGTCACTCTGAAGGATAGTAACTCCTGTGTCAAGTCAACCTGGAAATGACTACATACACATGCACACGCGCAATGTAAAGACACACAAAATGTGTTAGGTGAGGGCTGGATTAACATTTTGCGGGCCTGGTGCCAAACATACTTCCGCCCCTTCCAAGTCTGGGCCCAGGATGGCAGCTGCAGTGCATACCCTGCACTGAATATCAGACATCTTTCATGATGATCACACACCTCTACCTGACTATATGTAGTGTCATACACAGTTTCCTTAGCTCCGTTTTTCCTCATTCAGTTGTTCATAGTGAGCAGAAAAAAATTCCACAGATTTATCTCCTTCATCCAGACATTCGACAGCAGGGTGGGCAGTAAAAAAGCAGCGACCTAACAGGGTTAGTCCCTGGTGGGGTACCACTGCTATATTGATCAGTGCCCTTTGCAGTTATCAGGCAGTCACAGCTCTCGTTGGCCATGGATCACCGTTCGCGGCCAATAGGAACAATGGGAAGAGGCGCCAACTACGATACCACTTCCTGATGCTCCTATTGGCCATGAATAGCAATCCAAGTTGCCAGGTGCCTGCAGAGGCACAGGTAAACACAGAAGTGAGGGCCTGGGTCAGCATTTGCCCACCCCTGTTTTATAGCCCTGTTTCCAGTACCATCCTATCACTGTAATGTGGTCCTGGTCTCAGCTCACTAAAATTCCACAGCCAGAAGATACCTGATCAAGTCTGACAAATGTAGGGTGAACAGCTGTCCTGTTTTTAAAGGGACATTCCCATTTTTAAGGCCTCCTGCAGGTGTCCTGACTTTCTTAAAAATTGACAATTTCTTCCATATTTCCTGTCTTCTCCCCCATCAGTACTTCTGGGTCCTGATGCTGGTCAAATCCCTGCTCATCAGCAGCCTGCCCACCAGCAGTGATTTACTTGGGGTTGGTCCTGCTTTGAGCAAGAGGTTGGACTAGATGACCTCCTGAGGTGTGTGCCAACCCTAATCTTCTATTATTGTCCTTTTTCACATTACAGAAATAAAAACAATTTATCTCATTTTAGATACTTCTATTTCCCCAACGAGGAAGCAGCCCAGGTTTGAAGATGAAAATTTAAAGGTGGTTAGCACATTATATGGACTAATCAATACTGATATGTACACCGTAACACAATCTGATCAGATTCCTTTCCTACTGAAACCAAGTAGTGCTTTGTCATTAACTTCTGTGGGAGAAGGTCAGGAGTAAAGGTAAAATGGAACTGCTGTTCATGTGTGTTACTTTTAATACAATAGAGAATAAGACCTGCTACCAGAATCCCTTTGAATTTTTAATCTCTGCTATTTTGTCAGACATATCCAGCAGAAGTGAAAGATGCTAATGCTTTTAGGATTTCTGCCTTGTGTCTAAGTTATGGGCACAATAAAGCATGGTTGAATTTCTTGGTTACAAACATAATATGCTTGATTAGTGTAAATTGTGAGCCAAAATACCACACACTAGAATAATCTGAACTACATACAGCTCTTACCCCATTCTCAACCCATTTCACTTGTTATATCCAGGTGTAGCATGATGAGAACAATATACATAGCACACAAGATATTTTGTGCCTCTTATGTGCTAGAGGCAAGATAAAGACAAAATATTTCATCTCAGGCTTGCATATGTTCTCATTTTAATAATACATTAAAGCTTGATAATGCTGAAAGCATTTAGATCAGATAATGGATGGAACCTACAGTTATCTTGGGCTTTGGGGCATCTGTGGACTTTGGGAGTGTTATATTTCCCAAGGTAAGTGGGGAATTTCACACAGCAGGAGCTTAATTAATAGATGTGTGAAGAAGTTTCCAAAGACACATGATGTCTCTCACTGCACAAACTGTCAGTGCAGATTAAAGTGTTCTATCTTAAAATGTGTAAAAAAAGATGCCACACAGATGTCAGTACTGTTATTTATATAGCATGCAGCACTTCATGACAGGAAAACCATATGAACAAAAACAAAATTTCTTCACTGAACAGTATACAGTACATTCAAATCCTGCCGTCAGACCTATGTGAACAGACCCCTGAACAGTGTGTCTCCTCATTGGCTTCAGCGGTGCTCTACACAGGAGTTAAGGATCTGCCAAAATAGACCCATTGCAGGACTGCGGCCTCAGGAAATACATATAAAATGCCTGAGTTTACTGGTAACATAATGACCCATCTTACCAAGTCAGTGTGATTTCCTCTTTATGTTTCTCTGACAGTGCAAGAAAACCCTTACTCTTCTGCCATTTTCAAAAAGAGAAGATGGTGTACCTCACAAGAATTTCAGTGGACAAGCAATACGGGATCCTATCGACTACTTACAATTGTGCAATTTAGCACTTGCAAAGGCCAAACCATTGACTCGAAGTTTGTCTTCTGTGAGTGGGTAAATAGTAATTTTATTATCTAATTCAGCTGACTGAAGGAACTGTAGAAAGACTATATTTAAAAGCAGGCTGACTTTCTGGAAAAAGCCAGATCAATTCCCCCTTGTTTCTTCCCCTGCCCCTAGTGTGTTAATATGCACCACTATTGCCCTGCTGAGCTCCAGTCTCACAAGCCAAACATGATACCTTGTGAAATGTCATTGGTGGGGGTGCACCAGTAAAAATGCGAGCGCTCAGGGTACGGAAGAGGTGTGCAATGGTCACTTTGATCATTTCATGCATTTGGGGGCTTCCAGCTTTGTGACATGCAAAACACAGCTAAGAAAGCAAAACACAAAAGGTTAGGCCAAGCAGTGCAATGGACGAAACAAGACAAATCTCCCAAAACATGGTTGAGAATAGATACAAGAAGGCAAGAATAGATACAAGAAGGCAAACCAGTCACAAAGCATGAAATAACTCGTCATGCTGGGGTCTGACCACATTAAAAGTACTGTGTGTAGTTAGATATAGCCAGGCTGACTGTAGATTCAACACTAATAATATTTAAGCCATTTGTACAACCCTTTTCTTGGTCACAGTGCTTCACAAATCTCCTTACCCTTCACAGAACTCCAGTGAGGTTAATAAGGGAAAAAGAGGCTGAGCTTAAGGTTAAAATGCTAAGATGTATCCACTAATTTGGGGTGCATCCATTATGGATTGATTGGGCGATAAAAAGTGGCCAGGTTCTAGCTTGGCAGAAGACAATTCACATTGTAGGCGTACCCCCATTGGTAAGAAACAAGCCGAGACAGAAGAGCTGGCACTAGCACCAGCTAGCAGGGGCAATATCAGGGAGGGGAGGGGGCTTTCTGGAGAAGAAAGGACACTTAGCAGAATGCAACTATGTCAGTTCTCCACTGGAAGAAGTTTGAGCAGCTGATGCTAGAACCAGACCAGTGATGACTCAGTGATCCATACACATCCTCAAATGGCTACAATGCCAGCACTGGGAAAAGTTCAGACGGAGGGGAGTACTGTGTCCTCAGGTTTCAAATTTTAAGGCCTTTGTAATATCTATGGGCCAGAATCACAAAGTCCAAAGGTGTAAATAGTGCTCCTCTGTATAGGTATTCTAGCACACATTCCTAATGTAGACAGAGCTGATACTGGCAAGAGAGTGCTTTTGCTGGTATCGCGGATACCGATTTCCTGAACAAAATGTACTAACCCAGCAAAATAATTTTCTTTACCAGTATAGCTTCATCTACACTCAGGACTTTGCTAGTGTGCGTCTGTGTCATATTTTTTATTTAATTTATTTATATATTATATAAATATAAAATGCTGACAAAAGTTATTAGACATGACCTTTTGGATATGGCAGAGCCACTAAACAACGGCAGGGTCCAACACAACACGAAATAAACTGGTGTTGAGCAGGGTGTTTTAAAGAGAAAATACAGCCACGTGTCAGTTGCATATTATTATCTGAAAAGGCATAGTAGAAATAGAAACGGTGAGTTCAATAATGCACACAGCCTTGCAGATGTCCCCAGGGAACAAAACAGTGACAACTGATTTCCTGTGACAACTTCACTACCTGAAGCAGCTCAAAGGTTGAAATACTGGAGCTATTGCTTTCCCCCCCAAAATGTGCACTGTCTCTTACTGTACTTCTCTGTCTACTATTTATAGCTATATTGGGCTAGACTCACCTTCAACTTTCACTCACTTCAACTGTTCTCCACAGTGGAAAGTCTGCAAAAGAGAGGCTGCAGCAGTGGAAAGGAGCCATAAGTTTGCCTCTGTTTGGCAGACTGGAGCAACAGGGATTTAACACAGCCTGGGAAAGGGGGTGGCATGAACTGAGAAAGGGGGTGGCATGAACTGCTGACCCAGTACATCTTTGCTACAACCACGAGTAGAAAAATGAAGTTACTTCTCTTGAGTATGGATTTCCTAATATTACTCAAGAGAGGTGAAACCATGAGTTACACAGGTCACCCCCAAATGAATATTAGCCTGTATTCAGCACATGGCCTGTTTTTAGGACACAAGAGAATTTTAATATTTTGCATAGAAACTATTTTTGTAATCCATCTGCCTGTAAAGTCAGTTAGTGATGTTTTAGCAGCCACATTACCATAGTAAGGCAGTCAATTTTCTTACTTACCATGCTTTTTCCCCTTAAGTAGCAACAGGATGATGCAGGATCAACTTAATTCCCAGATTTATAAAATGTTATCACTATCAGGTAAAGCTAGGCACTTCTATTAGGTTTCCTTTTCCTCTTTTGCACCATGGAAAAACTGACATTTTTAATCACTCTCTCTCAGGCTTACTAATTTCACTTATAACTTCCCAAATTGTCTTTAAATAAGAGCTGAACACAGAATGAAAACTCCTTCTGTAATTATCAATTATGTTTATTATTATTATTATTATTATTTTATTAATTCCTCAATATTGAAAAGAATAGCTAACAAGTATAAAAACAGAGGGGCGTTGTGTCATGGAGTTTTCAAATATTTTCATACAAACCTTTTCATTGCTGTATTATACATTGATGTTAAGTGTGTATACATCTCCCTTAATCCCCATGCAGTGTAATTCCATATAATTTTATGCTTTATTATATACACGCCGTGCAACAGGCTCATTGTTTCTGGCTACATGGGATACTCACTGCTTGAAACTCACTGTGCAGCTACATAGGCCACTTATCTGAAAACTTTCATTTATAAACAGATCGGTTCTTGGCAGGTGTGTTTTCCAGCTGACAAAGCCATTTACACAATTTAACCCAGACAAATATAATGAGGGCAAGGGATGATCAATTAATTGCAGTGGGACAACATAATAAATCTAGGGATGGAATGATTTTTTTTCTTGGATGCATCAAGAATAAGAGACACACTAATAATGCACATTATAGGTCAATCTCATCTCTGTTGTAACTGTTATTAACTTTGGTGGAGTTTGACCTGGGATGAATTTGGACCTTCACACTGTTGTAAAGTTGAAGGTGAACATTTTTTATTACTGCAGAAGGCAAAGCAAAACAAAAAAAACAGGCAAAGTTTTCAACACAGACAATACTGTACTACACAGTGGACACTAGGAGAAATTGCCAAGAGTAGAAAACGCATCTTCCACTACATGTCTACAGCTGTCAGCACTATGTGATTGCTAATCATGTTGACTGAATAAAACACAATAGTAACAAGGGTAATAGCAATCATAAAGAATGACTGCAATTGTTTTGAATAAGTCAATCCCTGTCTATGCATAGAAAGCACATTCTAGTTAGTGGCAAAAGGTCCAGGAAAACAAGCAATGTTAGTGGGGGCGGGGGGAGGAGAAGGATGGAGAACACTCACCTCAGCAATCTTTAGTACTGAACTTCCATTCAGGTCAAATGTGGGGGTGTACGTGATGCAGAGCAAAACCTTGAACACAGAAGGGGGAAAAGCACAAGAGCTTTAGTTTCATCCATCATTTCTAGATTGTGGTTGAGTTCTGATATTGTCTATTGTGTTAATTACTTTTTCTGCATCATATCCTTCAAGACACAATTCATTACATTTTCCACAGCAGCAACTACTGGGGTTGGGGAGGGCAATGAAGTTGCTGATTAGTTTCTGCTTGGAAAATTGTGATTCTTGACCAAAAAAGGCACCACAATCCCTGATGTTACGTTGCTCTATATGTACAGGTCTATCAGAGAGGAAATATGGTCCAATGGTTTGGATGTATTAAGCAAAAAGACTTGAGAAAGACAGGATCACTTCCCTGCTCTGCCACTGATTTCCTGTATCATCTTGGGAAAGTCACTTAGGTTTTCTGTGACTCAGGCAGGTTTCAGATGGGGCACTAGCAAAAATGTTGTTAGGATAAACACTTTAAAGACTGCAAAGCCTCAGATAATTATGGGAAGTGAGAAGCCATGCAATACATATTTAAAAAAAACTGAGCAATTTTTAAGAAGCCACTCCCTGAATTGGTATGGGTATAATAATTACCAAGCCAATACTTAAAAATGATTTATAATCAGTAACTATAATTAATCCACAAAACACCCTGTGGAGAAGGAAAATAGGAAAGAGAGAGTCTTGAAAGGACTGTCGAGGCTTAAAGGGAACCTTTTGTCTGACAATATTTTCATCTAATAATTATTTGTACTACACTAGTGAATAGAGGATTAAGACACCATTGTCCTAGGCAGTGTACCAACACCTAGAAAGAAACCTTGCTCTAAGCAGCCTAAATTTGCTCAAAATTATTTGTTCTTGCGTCAGCATTGTCCTTTAGCTTAAATAGCTCTCTCTCCTTGGTGTTTATCTCCCCCAGTGTATTTATTGTGGACTACAAATCTGGGAGAAAGATTCCTCCATGCATGGGATCTAAGGAAACTTGGCCACATGCATGATAAGTGGACACCTGGCTAACTAAAATCATGATGGACCATGGAGATTGCAGGACCAGAGTGTGCCGGACTAAAGAGGTTCAACCTGTATTAGTGCACTCTGCCGTCAGAAACATGATGGATCTTTAAAAATGACATGGGATATGACTCTAAACACCACCAGAGCACAGAAATGGACAAGTTTGATTTCATGCATTTATAATTTGCCTTACCGAGATACCCCATTTCAAAAAAAATCAGGAAGAGTACAGGAACTGAACCTTGTTAGCAATACATGTAAGTTAGGTGTAGCATATAACACAATAGTTGGTACTGTGTGATAAATACTATACATACATGTGGGAAGTTATGTTAACAGATATGCTCTTCCCACAACTGGGCTCATCCATATCAGATATTCCACAATACTTGTCAAAACAACTAACTTCAGTTTTGCAAAGTTTCCAATTTTCTAAAGCTATGAATGAATACTTTGCACGAAGTACAGTCAGGGAATCCGGTCATTGTTCATCAACACTTGGAATGTAGTATTCAGAATGAGATATGGCAAAGTATATGGAGGTATCTTTAAAGACCAATACCTGTAATACTAGTATCCAAAACAAAGGTAGGGAACGTGCATAACAATACATTAAGAAACTGGTGTGTACAGGTGAGTTGGATTTTAGTGACATGTAGAAAGTTTTGTAACTTGTAAAATCATACTAAAAATACCATACCATACTATTTTACCTGTATGTAAAATCATACTATAAATAGCTCAAATGCATATCTTTAAATTACCACCTTCTGTGTAAGGTGAACAAGATCAGAGAATTTGCATCCTGGAATGAGGGTATACCTTGTCTTTGGACACTACCTTTAGGAAAATGTGTTTATTTAGGCTCTTGTACATCCTTGAGAAGAGGATGCTCAAAACCAGGCAAATAGGAATTACTGAATTTCAAACAATATTATCTTTCTCAAACCCCTCAGCCTTTTAAAATATGAACTGAATGGTGTAGCTAAATGCCAGTGATCGTTGCGGATGAGTGTTTTGCGGGGCCCAGGGCACGGGGCCTATTGAACCACAGGGCTCAGGGCAGCACAATTTTGCGCATTTGCCACGGCCACAGCCGACAGGTAGTAGTGTGTGCACGGGGCCTATTGAAGCGTGGGGCCTGGGGCAGCTGCCCTGCTCACTCTGCCCTATATTCACCGCTGCCAGCGATCCAGGAGAATGGAAAAAGACCGGAACAGAATAGTCTGGATTCTATTCTCAGCTTTTGGCGATTTGCTCTCTGATACAGTCTAAATCAATTAAATGTTCGGTGTCTTAGTTTTCCAATTTGTACAATAATATTTCCTCCCCTCACAGAAGTGTTGTAATTCTTAATGACTTTAAAGTGCCTTTAGATGATCAAATGCAAGTTGGTCAGTATCATTATTTCCTGAGGTTGTCAAGAAATACAACCCTCTCTGGGTACATTCATTCAGGGTGTTAACAGTATTATGTTTTACTTGATAGAAACATCTGAATTTGGGTGCTGCAACACATATCCACAACACTAAGTTGATAAATGAAGAAAGGATAAATGAAGAAAGGAGAGAAGAAAATGGTATGGTAAACATTCCCACAAAGCATTAAAGAAAATTATTAAAAACAGAACATTCAGAAGAGCTCAGATACTCCACCCAGATATGCCAGTTTCACTGATGGGTGAATTCTCTACCTGATTTGTTATGTCAAACATATTCCATAACTATTCAACACAGGACTCAGTGTACCTTTCACTTGAAGCCCCTTGTTCTGTTCATAGCTGGAGACAGGATGCGCTACAAGATGAATCACTATATTCCTGTCTCATACAGATGCAATTTTCACATGCATCAGCCCCCCAAACGGTGTGCAGGTGCATCAAATACCCACGCCTGAATACTAGGTCCACAATTTGCAAAATGCCATTGAACTTTTTAGAATACAAAGCCTAATGTATTCACTGATGTAAGATAAGGTCTTTTCCTTGGCACTAATGGCACATAACACTCCTTGTGTGCTTTGTGTGACATCTCTGTTCTTATATAGAAGCTCAGCTCAATACTGCTTTGTAAAAGATTTCATAGTTTATGGAATGTTTAATTGTAACAAGGATCTGTGAAACACACGGAAATATCTCCCAGAGTAATGTATTCTTATGAGGCTCTGCTTACGGAAATGATTCCTATTTGTTTGCCCTCATTTAAGTCTCTCTCCATCTTCTGTCCTTAAGTGGCTGCAATTTGAACAGGTAGGAAATGTGCTTACTTTTTCCTATCAGAAGTGCCAGTGAGCCTAAAGGAGTAGGCAACTCACTCAGTTTCTGGTTTAGGGGTCAGATGCACAGTATAAGAAAAATTTCATCAGGTGCTTGCTGATGAAAAGGTGACAGTGACCGCATGTTTTGAAATAACAGGGAATTCAGGCAAAAGTAGATTTGGTTGCTAATAATTTGTAGGGGTTAGATTTACAACAGACCGAGAAAGCCATTCTCTCACACAGACTCTGGTCCCTACTGTCTTGTAAGGCCTCATCTCCCAACAAAAGCAATATAGTGAAGTTGCACCTCCCTTCTCTCAGTTACTGTGGTTCTAGTGATACCAGTGTAGAAGGGAAACACTACGCTGGTATAAGGATTTAAAAACTGATGTAACTAGGTTTGTACTAGAGGTTTGACCTCCCTGGTCTGCAACCTTAGGACTTGACCGGTCTCAAATGAGGAATTTTGCTGGACCAGGAAAGGTCATTTCTGGGGACCCCTACCACCATCCCACCCCTTTCCACAAACCAGGGTCACACTGCTCACCTCCCAGCTGGCTTCCCTCTGCTGCCAGACCCTCAGCACAGGGCACCATGGCAGCCCCCGTCACTGCAAGCACAGCCCTAGTGCCAGGCTCCCTGCCCTGTGGGGCAGCCCCCCTGCTCTATGGGGTTCAGTTGTTTCACCTCACTGGGCAGCCTCATTTGGCAGCTTTGCTGGACAGCTCTGCTGCCTCCCGGCCTCACCAGACAGCTTTGATGCTGGGCAGCTCCTCTCCCTGGTTCCTTGCACTGCGGTCAGACAGGCCCGTGTTTGGGCTCCTGGCCCTGTGGGGAGCCTCGCTGCCTCCTAAGTTCCACCGTGCAGCTGCATGACTGGGTGGCAGCGGGGCTGCCAGGTTCCTGGTTGTGCTACCTGTTCTGGGTTTCCAGCTCCACCGCTGGGCAATTCCACTGCCTCCTGGTTTTGCAGGGCAGTTTGGCAAACAGAAATAATTTTAAAAAAGTAGGCTGAAATTCAATAAGGATAAATGCAAAATTCTAAAACTTAAGCATAATCAATTGCACAAAATACAAATGGGCTATGTTTGTTTAGGAAGGAGTATTGCAGAAAAAACCTGAGGGTTATAGTGGATCATAAACTAAATGTGAATCAACAGTATAATACTACTGCAAAAGAGCAACTATCATATTGGACTGTATTAGCAAGAGTGTTGTAATCGAGACAGGAGAAGTAATTTTTCCAGTCTACTCAGCACCAATAAAGTCTCAAATAAATTAATGTGTTCAGTTGCAGGCACCACACTTCAGGAAATTGGGGAAAGTCCAGAGAAGAACAAAAATGAACGGTCTAGAAAAAAAAAAAAAAAAACCCCACACGGCCTATGAGGAAAGACTGAGAAAGTTTAGTCTGGAAAAGAGAAAACTGAGGGTAGTCATAGTAACAAATCTTCAAGTTGTTTTTATGGATGATAAATTGTCCTCTTTAACCACTGAGGACAAGACAAGAAATATTGGTCTTAAATTGCAGGAAGGGAGATTTAGATTAAACATCAGGCAAGCAAACCAACTAGCCACACAACCCAAAAAACAAAACCCGTCTTCCTAACTGTCAGAGTAGGTAATCTCTAGAACAAATTGCCCATGAGTTGTTGGCTCTTCATCACTGGAGATTTTTAAGAACAATTTAGATAGATTCTAGTTCATCCATAACAAGTGGCTATAATACTTACCCTTGCCTCCATCCA